AAGTGAAAAGGAATTAAAATACTTACTGGTGAAGATCAAAGACCACAGCCTTCTGTATGGATTGCATCTCAACATAAAGAAAACAAAAAATCCTCACCACTGGGCCAATAAACAACATTCTTATCAATGGAGAAAAGATTGAAGTTGTCAAGGACTTCATTCTTCTTGGATCAACCATCAATACTCCTGGAAGCAGCAGTCAGGAAATCAAACAGCGCATTTCATTAGGCAAATCAGCTGCACAAGATCTCTTTAAAGTGTTGAAGAGCAAAGCTGTCAGCTTGAGGACTAAGGTGCGCCTGACTCAAGCCATGGTATCCTGGTTTGGCACTGTAGGATAAGCACTGAACTGCTAACAGCAAAGTTGGTGGCTCAGAACCTCCTACTGCTCCTGAGAAATGCTATACAGGGTGGCTATGAGTTGAAACTAAGTGGCACTTAACAACCTTAATGTACAAATGAAAATGTATACTTTTATTCTTTCAAATTAAAATTTTACATCTTTACTCCTAGGCACTTACTCAGCGACTAGGTAGGATTATCAATGGACACATCGATCTTGATAACAAAGGAGTCATTTTTACTGAAGCTTTTGTCGCTCGACATAAAGCACGTATACGTGGACTCTTCAGTGCTATTACCCGGTAAGCTTGTTTAATAGCATATGTATTTTTACATGTCTTGGATCATAGTTTGCCATCTTTTTTTTCTTAGTGGATGAATACTTTGTTTTTAAATTCTCATTTTATTGAATATACCATAAAATATCAGTTTATTAAACAGATAAAAAGGGAACTTAAGTAAAATGAAATGAAATGAATGCAGCAATCCCTATTTCCTTCCCTTCCCTACTTTCACTACCTTCGTGACCTTGAAAGTACATATGGGTTTGAATTGTAGACCTTGTGGTATAAAGAAACTGTATTTCTGCTGAATGTCATTTAAAAACTGCTGATCATTTCAGTATATTAGCATCACCCTGAAATGATAGAGCAAGTAGTTCATTCAGAAGGTTTGGTGCAGGTCAGTCAGCCACAGCCTCTTTGGACTGACTGACCTGCACCAAATAACTTTCTATAGTTTTATTAAATAATGTTAAAACCAAGAATTTCTCAAATGCTTGGATCTGTGTGACCAGTTCCACTGCAGATTTAGGAAAGTACATTTCACTGATCTCTTCTTTCCTGTCATCAGTTTCTCTCAATGCCTTTGTGTCCCACCGGGAATTACTTATGTACAAATTTCTGTCATCTTCTATTCCCATCTTTCACCTAGTTTGTTCTTTTCCTTAACTTAACTTTCTCAGGAGTTGACATCTTCATTAACTTATCTCAAGTTTCTTACTTTCCACCACTATTCAGTTGACTCATATAGACACAACTGAGATAGCTATGTGTCTGTATCATTACATCTCGTGGATACTTGTTGACTTTGTAGCACCATTAAAGTCAAATTACATCTGCTTGAAAATGCTTTCTTCCCCCTCCTTTTTAAAAAAATCCCACACTAAGCTAGTTTCTCTCTCTCTTTTTTTTTTTTTTTTGGCTCTTCCTCCTTTACTTTGAAAGTTTTTGTCAGGCTACTTTCTTAGTTCTGTACCATCTTTGTAGATAACTTCACCATTTAAAGTTTAGACTTATACTCTACTATCTACATGTTGTTGTTGTTAAGTGCCACCAAGTTGATTCAGACCCATAGCAACCCTGTATAGAGTTTCCAAGGAACAGCTGATGAGCTTGGACCACCAACCTTGCAGTTCAAATGACTTTGCAGTCTGACTCATTAGCCCACAGCATCACACCAGGACTCCATACTAGCATCTCTTAAACATTTTACAGCTGCCTAAAATACAACATATTTAAAATAACTCCCCATTTCTGGTTAATTTCTTCTTTTTCTTTCTCATTATCATTTAGTTATTTTTGACAGAAATCTTGAAGTCTTCCTCTATGCCCTCCTCTCCTTCATCTAACCCCTTTCTAGAACCTTAAGTGTTTTGAGTTCTGTATTCTAAATATGTATGCAATCTTTACTTCTCTGACATCACTGTTCCCACTACACCAATTTATTTTCTTTTGGACTATTTCAGCAGATTTCTAACTAGTTTCTCTTCTACCACCTTTCAGTTATTTTATTTTATTTTAAAACTTTTATTGTGAATTGAGTGAGTAAAGGTTTACAGGGCAGCTCATCAGTTTTACATTCAGCAAACCATTGCAATGATTACAACCCCTCCATGCACCTTACAGCTCTATTACCTTTTTTTTTTTTTTTTTTTTTTTATGTACACATACCACACTGAAAGTATATATTCATTTAAATATCCAAAGGGCATACTTTGCAAGCCTGCCTCCTGCCCACAAGCACACTGCCTTTCTCAGTCCATGGGCCTATAGTCCTCTGTTGCTCTCTCTTTGCCATCACCTCTGCCACCATCTCTGTTGTCACCACTTTTCTGGTTAGGATCCCTAGCTTCTCTCATGCTCTTCCCACTCATGTCATTCTCATGACAGATGAGTTACACCTCTTCTACATTCACAGTTGTGACAATCGCCATTAGACCTGATAACAGTTACTCACAATTGAATTATAAAATCCTGTCTTTGGTAGTGTAGTGGTTACGAATCAAGCTGCGAACCTCAAGGTCAGTAGTTTGAAACTACCAGCTGTTCCGTGGAAGAAAGATGAGGCCTTCTGCTCCTGTAAAAAATTTACAGACTCAGAAATCCTGAACAAGGTTGCTATGAATCTCAACTGACTCCACGGCACACTACCACCACCACTTCCATCCACCTTATCACCAAACCCATCTAGATAAGAGAAAAAACTATTCAGTGGAGTTTCTGTCTTACTTCTCTTGTTCTGAGACTAAGCACCCTCATGAAAGCTTATAAGACAGCCACTTTGTACCTTTATAGCCCCCCAGTTTTTATAGCTGAAGTGTATGTTTCCCACCCCTATCAGCCCAGTGTACTGAGGAGGCAAGGTTAAATCCCCTTCCCTTTCGATTGCAATTTTGGGGCCACTTCATCCATAAGCAAAGATCCAGTTGTTCAGGTTGTTTCCATTCAGTTATTTTTCACATGGTCTCCACAGTGACTTCTGTTTATTAGTAATTATTTATTGAATACCTAATAGTGCCAGGAACTGAAGGGACAAAAAAGAATTAACAGGAATTCTGCCTTCAGTGACAGGTGGTGTTAGCATTATATACCTAGGAGATGTAGAAAGGAGCGTTTGTAGTCTGATGCAACAGATTTCTTCCTTCTTCCCTTTGGTCCGTCTTTTCTTCTTTCTCTGTTTTCCTAGTTATCATAACAATTAGCACAAGTAAGTGGCTTTAACAGACAAATTTATTTTCTCACAGGAAAGTAGAAGCCTAAATTCAGGGTGCTGACTCTAGGAATCGGTCTCTGGAGATGGCCTTGTCTCTTTTGAGCTTCTATATCTGGTGATCTTCGGGTAGCTTGGCATCTTATTTCCTCATCTCTGTATGCTTCTCTCTGCTTACTGTGCTCTTTTTATATCTCAAGAGTCACTCAAGACACACTGTACACTAATACTGCTCTTTAACAAAACCCATTCCCAAATGGGATTATAACCACAAGTATTTGTTGTAATCGTTAAGTGCCGTCAACTCAGTTCTGGCCCATAGTGACCCTGTGTAGGATTTCCCAGGAGCAGCTGGTGAGCTTGGACCAACGGCCTTGCTTATTCAAATCAACTTTGCGGTCCAGCTCATTAACCCACAGTGCCACACCAGGACTCCAGCACATATGTTTGATTTACAGCACATATGTTTGAGGGGTTTACAGCACATATGTTTGAGGGACACAATTTAATCTAGAATTCCTTTCTAATTCTACTTCTTTTTTTTTTCTTTCTTTCTTTACTTCACATTCAAATTTTCAGAAAAATTGCTAGCATGATCCTTTTTTTTTCCTGACCTATTTGAGAGTAAGTTGCTGCCATAATGTCACATCACAAATATTTTAGTCTGCATACCTTGCAAACAATGGCATTGTCCTATATAACTTACACAAACATCAAAATCAGGAAATTAACACTGGTACGTTACTTCCATCCAGTCCTCAGATCCCACTCACTTTTTGGCAATTTTTTTCAATTATGTTTTTCCTAGACATGGGATCCAGTGCAGAAACATATGTTGAGCTTAATTGTCGTGTCTTTTTAGTCTCCTTCCATTTGATACATAACTCAGTTTTTCCTTGAATCTCATGACCATGACACTTATAAAGATTACAGCCCAGGTATTTAGTAGAGTGTTTAAGTTTCTATATGCGCTGTTTTTCCTTGGAGATATGGAGGTTTTACATTTTTTGATAGTAGTATCACAGAAGTGATGCTATGTTCTTATCGTTAAATTCTGACAAGTGACGCACAGTTTAAATTTTTTCTATTACAGGTGATTTGCATTGTAATCACTTAATAAGGGGGTAACTGCAAAGATTCTTATAAAGCTACTTATTTTTCCTTTATAATTAATATTTCAGGATAGGGTGTTTATATTACTGTAAAATTACCCTGTTCTACATCAGATTATTAATTTATGTGTTTGTTTAGATCACTGTAGACTCATGATAAGGAGCCCTGGTGGTGCTGTGGGTTTGGCATTAGGCTGCTAACTGAAAGTTTGGTAGTTCAAACTCACCAGCTACTCCATGGAAGAAAGATGAGTCTGTCTGCTCCCATAAAGATAATACAGTCTTGGAAACCCTAAATAAGGCCACTGTGAGTTGGCATAGACTCAGTGGCAGTGGGGCTTTTTGGATGACTCATGGATCCTTGTTTTATTCATTGGATTATAATTTACTATTGTCATTATTTAGATTTTCAACTTGACCCTGATTTAGATAGTGGGAACTTTACTTAACTAATTTCTGAGTTCTTTTGATGTGGCCCCATTATTCTTGAAGCACTTCCTTATTTTGGCTATAGTAAGATACTCCAGACTCAGCTCATATCCTCTCTGTTTCAGTCCTGGAAAAAGCCATTTTCCAAGGAACCTTAGTTCCTCTTAATAGAGTTTCGTATTTAGAAACCAAAATCTGGGTGATCAATTGGTTATTGCTGTTTGCTTTTCACTGTTCCCAGGCCCTCTCATTAGAAGCCTATGCACACACACTCGTATTTACGTCTAGATTTGTATTTCTTTATGGAGTCCATCAGTAACAAAAGAGTTAAGCACTCAGGCTACGAGGCAAAAGATGGGCATGT